TTCCTCCACTCTTTATCTATCTATTTACTTCAAAAAAATTCATTCATTTTGAAGCTACCAGTGCTTGCAAGCAACAAACACTCCTTGATTTCAAGTTAAACAAAATAAACTGACCCACATTCCCCACACCTGTCAACTTGTGATCACGAGCAGCCAACAATATCAATAATGGGAAAAAAGATAGAATGATCTAAACCCAATAAAATAGCAAATCCCATTACCAATTTTTGCAACCTAACTTTTCTAGTCTTGTTTTTTTGGTAGAAAACATAACTACTAGCTGGTCACTAATAATGCAGAATTGAAAGCATTCCAAAGCTTAAATTTTTTACATTTCTTGGAAAGTATATATATATATATATTGGGAAAACATATATATATATATACACAAGTTTTATATAGCCCAAACAACTATATGTTACAATGTCACACTATCAAGAAAAAGACCCATCAACCATGTTTTTGTTATACACAAAATCAGGTATGTTGGGGCTCCTTCTCCGATTCACTTGTCTGTTCTCATTGTCATTCTATTTCTGCATTTCAACTCCTCCAGAGGAGCACATCAAGTGTTCATCATCCAGCAACACAAACTGCACCATCACAAACTCCTACGGCATCTTCCCTGATCGAACGGTGTGTAGGGCAGGCAGTGTAGCGTACCCTTCTACAGAGGAAGAACTAATATCAGTTGTGGCCAATGCAACAAAGAGCAAGACCAAAATGAAGGTGGCAACTCGTTTCTCTCATAGCATTCCAAAGCTGGTTTGCCCAGGGGGCCAAGATGGGCTGATCATAAGCACCAAGTACCTCAATCGTGTGGTGGAGATTGATGCTGAAGCAAAGACCATGACATTGGAGAGTGGGGTGACTCTTAGGCAGCTCATCAGTGAGGCTGCCAAGGTAGGGCTGGCCTTGCCTTATGCACCATATTGGTGGGGCTTGACCATTGGAGGCATGTTGGGGACTGGGGCACACGGCAGCACATTATGGGGTAAGGGGAGCTCGGTGCACGATTATGTGGTGGGGCTTAGAATTGCAAGTCCAGGAGGGCCTGAAGATGGTTATGTCAAGGTTCGGAGGCTCAATGATGGTGATAAAGATCTTAATGCAGCCAAAGTTTCACTTGGAGTTCTAGGAGTAATTTCACAGGTACTCTTTTTTATTTATTTAAATTAATAACATTTATAGTCGAGTACCATATATACTACGGCATCTAACACAAATCATTAGACTCTAGGTTATATTGTTAGACTGTAAATCAAATCACACATTCATGTTCATTTTGTGGCTATGTAGTTAAATAATTAGATTTTCACTTAAGTTTTAAGAAGTTACAATCATATTTTTATAATTTGATTTAGTTTGCAATCAAAGACAAAAGCTAAATTTTGTCCAACTTTCTCTTTGGTAGGTTACTCTAAATTTGCAACCTATGTTTAAGCGATCCATTACATATTTACGCAAGAACGATTCTGACTTGGGAGATCAAGTAGTTGGGTTTGGGAAGCAACATGAGTTTGCAGATGTGTTATGGTACCCCAGCCAGCACAAGGCAGTCTATCGGATGGATGATCGTGTCTCTTTAAATACCCCTGGCAATGGCTTCTTTGACTTCATTCCTTTCCGAGCCACATCTTCACTTGAACTTGCAATTATCAGAACCACAGGTTTGGCTAGCTTAATTATATTAATTAACTACTTAATTAGTTCAGTTCAAGCAAATTGCATTAGCAAGAATGAGGACCGATCTTGTATGAAGGATGAATCAATTGTAAACTAGTACATTGGAGAGATGATCTATTTAACAATTGACGTCTTATGTTGTCAGATTGTGAATCAAAATTGTATGCTCGTAAATGGTTTCATGTACTCATTCAAAGTCTAACAACCCAACATGCCAAATTGTTGGCACCCTTTATTTATATAGTGCACGTTTTGCATATGCATGGCCATCATAGCTAATTAAAAGTTACATTTAAAAAAAAAATTATTGTCATTGTGATAGAGGAGAATCAAGAATCCACTAGGGATGCTGATGGGAAATGCTCTGGTGCAAAGTTGGTCACATCTGCTCTCATAAACGATGCTTATGGTTTAACAAACAATGGTATGCATTAATTCTTTCTGGTATTATTGCCTTGCTTGTCTTGCCAAATCATTCTCAACTTCATTTCTAAAGGCAAAAAAGAAAAAACTTCAAAAACATCAATCAAAATTGTACTACATATTGCATTGTTCAGTATCTAATTAATTACTGAATTTATAGGTGTGATCTTTCTTGGCTATCCTGTTATTGGATATCAGAACCGCCTTCAAGCATCCGGGACCTGCCTAGACAGTCTTGAGGATGCAAGGATAACAGCATGCGCATGGGACCCCAGGATCAAGGGCGAGTTTTTCCATCAAACAACATTCAGCATCAGCTTGTCTGTGGCTAAAAACTTCATTCAAGATGTGAAAAAGCTGGTGGAGATTGAACCCAAAGCTCTGTGTGGAGTAGATATCTACAATGGCATCCTTCTGCGCTACGTTACAGCCTCGAGCGCTTACCTTGGCAAGCAAGAAAATGCAATCGACTTCGATATCACGTACTATCGAAGCAAAGACCCCATGGCTCCTAGGCTTTACCAAGGCATACTTGAAGAAATAGAGCAGATGGCGGTGTTCAAGTATGGAGCATTGCCACATTGGGGAAAGAACAGGAACATAGCCTTTAATGGAGTGATGAAAAAGTACAAGGGCGCCAAAGAGTTCTTGAGGGTTAAAGATGTTTATGATCCAATGGGGCTTTTCTCCAGTGAATGGACAGACCAAGTCCTTGGTCTTAAGGGTGGGGTGATTCTAGTGAAAGAGGGGTGTGCACTAGAAGGGTTGTGCATTTGCTCACAGGACATCCATTGTGCCCCTAGCAAGGGATACTTGTGTAGACCCGGGAAAGTCTTTGAGGGTGCAAGGATTTGTACATTTGTGGCTAAGAACCATGCCGCTAACTAGTCTAGATCACAAATTACGTCTAAATGGACCTTCGAGCTCCTCTTCCGTCGGTTGAAATTTGAAGCTAGCTAGGGCAACTTGACATTGTCCATTCAAAAGCTCACTCACAGATATCCTACTACTACTCATGTAATCTTCGATAGTTGGACGAATTAAATACTTGGTTGGAGTAAAATTAATCTTCGATAAGACTCAATTTTTATTTGATTGTATTATTGAACATTAATTTTTGAGTTAAATATATTTTTAGTCACGAATTTATGAGCATCAGTTCATTACTGGACTAAGCAGAAAACTTGTGAATTCATGGAATTATAATCATAAATAGTATGCTAACAATGTGTAGCCCAATAGAAAAGGACATTGACTTGTAGATCAATAATTTTAGGTTCAAACGCCCATGAGACCTTGGAAGTGTGTATCTGTGGGAGCAAAAATGAAGGCCCAAGTAACAAGCCACTCCCCATGAACCCCAATTTTAAGGGAGTGGAGGCAATCAAATAACATTAGATCCACTGCTTTGGAGCATGGAGATAAATAATGGATATGGGACTTGGAGTCCAAGGGTTCAGTGCCTATAAAAGGTCATCTAATCCCCTAGCATAAGGGGAGAGAGGTATGAGATTATTATGACTCTACTGCAATATTCCTTAGCGAACTCTGACTTGAGCGTCGGAGTGTTTTCATGCAGGTACCCCCTCCTCTCTCATTGATGGCAAATTAATGAAAGATGGTGTCCGGCTTCTCAACATGGAATACAAGAAGCAAAAATGAAGGCCCAAGTAACAAGCCACTCCCCATGAACCCTAAATTTAAGGGAGTGGAGGCAATCAAACATTAGATCCACTGCCTTGGAGCATGGAGATAAATAATGGATATGAGACTTGGAGTCCAGTGCCTATAAAAGGTCATCTAATCCCCTAGCATAAGGGGAGAGAGGTATAAGATTATTATGACTCTACTGCAATATTCCTTAGTGAACTCTGACTTGAGCGTCGGAGGTTTTCATTCAGGTACTCCCTCATCTCTCATTGATGGCAAATTAATGGAAGATGGTGTTCGGCTTCTCAACATGGAATACAAGATTACTTGTTGGAGAATCTGAAATTTCATGCTCCAACAGTGTCTGTGCATGAAAACTCATTCTCTTTGTAGTTAGACTAGAGTTAGAAATGTGAAACAAATGCAACAAGTTATAGGCGTGGGATTTTACTACCACAACGACGTCGTTTGCCTAAGTCTCTATTATTATTGAACATTAATTTTTGAGTTAAATATATTTTTAGTCACGAATTTATGAGCATCAGTTCATTACTGGACTAAGCAGAAAACTTGTGAATTCATGGAATTATAATCATAAATAGTATGCTAACAATGTGTAGCCCAATAGAAAAGGACATTGACTTGTAGATCAATAATTTTAGGTTCAAACGCCCATGAGACCTTGGAAGTGTGTATCTGTGGGAGCAAAAATGAAGGCCCAAGTAACAAGCCACTCCCCATGAACCCCAATTTTAAGGGAGTGGAGGCAATCAAATAACATTAGATCCACTGCTTTGGAGCATGGAGATAAATAATGGATATGGGACTTGGAGTCCAAGGGTTCAGTGCCTATAAAAGGTCATCTAATCCCCTAGCATAAGGGGAGAGAGGTATAAGATTATTATGACTCTACTGCAATATTCCTTAGTGAACTCTGACTTGAGCGTCGGAGGTTTTCATTCAGGTACTCCCTCATCTCTCATTGATGGCAAATTAATGGAAGATGGTGTTCGGCTTCTCAACATGGAATACAAGATTACTTATCGGAGAATCTGAAATTTCATGCTCCAACAGTGTCTGTGCATGAAAACTCATTCTCTTTGTAGTTAGACTATCGTTTGTAGTTAGACTAGAGTTAGAAATGTGAAACAAATGCAACAAGTTACAAATAGGCGTGGGATTTTACTACCACAACGACGTCGTTTGCCTAAGTCTCTATTTTCCAGTCTCATATTGAGTATGTGTAGGTGTAGCTAGCATTGGGAACGACAGAACACAAAACAACCACAGAAATGCATCTGCTCTTTCGGCGGTCATCAAAAGCCGCAGTAACGGTCACTCGCTCTCTGGCCCTCCCGCCAAAACCCCCATCCTCCTTCTCCTTCGTCTTCTTCCTCTCATCACAACCCCATAACCAGAACCACGAAATCGGCTCAATCGGCTCCCCTTCCAGGATCCAAAATCTCATCGCTTCACAATCAGACCCTCTCCTTGCCAAAGAGATCTTCGACTTGGCCGCCCGCCAACCCCATTTTCGCCACTCCTACTCTTCCTTCTTCACTCTCATCCTCAAGCTCGGCCGCTCCAAGTACTTCTCTCTCGTCGACGACCTCCTCATCCGCCTCAAGACCCAGAACTACTCTGTCTCCGCGGCTCTCTTTTCCCACTTGATCAAGATTTACGGCGAAGCCAATTTGCCACAGAAAGCCCTTCGCACCTTTTACACCATGGTGGAATTTGACTGCAGGCCTTCCGTCAAACACCTGAATCGCATTCTTCAAATCCTCGTTTCTCACCGGAACTTTCTCCGCCCAGCGTTCGACGTCTTCAAGGACGCTCACCGTCATGGGGTGATGCCCAATACTCAGTCTTACAATATCTTGATGCGTGCTTTTTGTTTGAATGGGGATCTTAGCATTGCCTACCAGCTGTTCAACAAAATATTTGAGAGAGACCTTGTTCCGGATGTGCAGTCGTATCGGATTCTGATGCAGGGGTTGTGTAGGAAGGGTCAGGTGAATACGGCGGTTGATTTTTTGGAGGACATGTTGAACAAAGGGTTCGTTCCGGATTCGTTGAGTTACACTAGCTTGTTGAATAGTTTGTGTAGGAAGAAGAAGCTTCGTGAGGCTTATAAGCTGCTTTGTAGGATGAAGGTTAAAGGGTGCAATCCTGATATTGTGCATTATAATACTGTTATTTTAGGATTTTGTAGAGAAGGGCGTCCAGTTGATGCTTGTAAGGTTCTTGAGGATATGGCATCAAATGGGTGCTTGCCAAATTTGGTGTCCTATCGGACTTTGGTTAGCGGGTTATGTGATCATGGGATGCTTGATGAGGCAAAGAGTTATATGGAGACAATGATATCAAAGGGGTTTTCTCCGCATTTTTCGGTTGTTCATGCTTTAGTTAAAGGGTTCTGTAATGTGGGTAGGGTTGAGGAAGCCTTTGCAGTTTTGGAGGAGGTGCTAAAGCATGGGGAGGTTCCTCATACAGATACTTGGCTTACAATAGTTCCTGGGATATGCGAAGAGATTGAGCTAGAGAGATTGAAGGAAATTCTGAAAGAGGTAATGAAGGTGGAAATTAGGCCAAACACCAGAATAGTGGAGGCAGCTACTGGTTTGGAGGATTACTTGATAAAAAAGATACGGGCTAAACCGAGGAGAGCTTATTAGATGCTTCTTACTATTTGTCTCCCTGGTTTTGGTCAAGTTACTGGCTTTACTTTTTTTGTATGTCACTAATCCAGACATAAACGTGGCAAGTGCTTCTCAAAAGAATGCAATCTTGCTTGAAGCAACTGCAACTCCACCAACATGGGTGTTTTGGTACTTTAGTTTGCTTCTCCTTCCATCATGTATCATCTCTATCCCTTATTATTATCCTACTGAGAGAATATAATGAGTTGTATCACATCATTTCATGTTAGTCTTTCGCTGCATATTGTCAGTTTTCCAAGGAGGCTTTTTAAGTGGCCTTATTTTAGTTTGTTCTTGTTTACAGTAAACGGATGCTAGTTTATTTGAAGTACTGCTTTTAAGGCCTTGTTTTTCCACTAGGTATGGACTTCACTTATTGGAGTTGTTCAATTGGAATATCACAGTATATCCCTCTGTGCGATAATCCCATCTAGAATTGGTTGTGTGGGTCTTGAACTATGCTATTCATAGAAAAAGAGATATAAATCGTACAGTATAGATATGAAGTGGTGAAGGAAGACTAACATTCTTTTATACCGGAACACATATTGAATTACTTGCATAGCTTCATTTCTTGCTGGATGTTAACTTACGTAATCTGATTAAGAGAGTTTGCATTAAATATCTCTATTTGCAGGACAGGGAACAATTCCTCCCTCACGCTTGCCATCTCTCAGTCAGAACAGAACTTCTGCAATTTTTATTGGAGGGTTCCGATGCTCCTAATACAAGAGCAGCAGGAGAATATCTTAACTTGTATTTTCTCTTGGAGCTAGAAACTGAAGCTACTTTAGACATTCTGAGATGTGCTTTCATTGAAGATGACATCTCAAAACCCGACATTTATTCTCATGATTCAGCTGATGCAAATATGGAGCTGCCGGATGGGAACAATTCAATGGCTCAAAGTCAGAATTCAATGGTTCAAAGTAGATACTCTCATTCATGTTATTATTAAGGGTATCTCCCCAATAGATGGATCTCCTGGCAATGATGACACTGCATCAATAGTAGACTGGCCTTCAAAGAAAGACATTGGTCATCTGTTTGAGTTTAGTGCGTACTATGTTGCATGTGGAAGAGCTAATGTCTCGAATCGTGTATTGTCTAAAATTTTGGAGTATTTGACGTCAAAGAATAACTTTCCGTCATGGGTTGCTAGAGATAGCATAACTTCAAAAAGAAGAGAGAAATAGGTTCTTGGCCTTCTTGAGGTAGTGCCTGAGACCGATTTGGATTCATTTTATGAGAAAGTGTGATTTTACCAGGTAAATTTACCAATATCTTACAATGTTGTCTCAGAGTCATGTAGTTAGAATTCGTTCAGTTTGAGATTACTCACTACAAGTTCTGTTGGAGTATTTTAGGTTTGTGGCCTAATTCATACCAGCAGATATCAGTGTCTTGCTGCTCTGGACTGCTACATGAAAGATATAGATGATCCCGTTCATGCCTTCTCCTTTATTAACAAAATATTATTGTGGCTGACTGACAATGAATCCGCTGCTTTTCAATCAGAAGTAATTTATCAAATTCCAGAGTTTTTTTACTTAAACAGGTTATCCTTTAGTTATCTTGAATTTCTCTTTTGTTTTTCCTCTTTCATATGTTAAGTAATATGTAGGTTATTTTCTCCAGGGGAGGTCTTCCTTCTCAGTTATTCAATCTCAATTATTTTCTTATTCTATGCAGAGAAGGCACGTTAGTCTTGGTTATCAACAATTTTACTAGTGAAGAAGGTTCTCATATCCTCTTTGAACTTCGTTCCCATCCAAAAAGCCTATTCCTCGGTAATTGAGGTTCACTTATCTGGCCCTCGACTTTTCAAGTTTAAGAAAAGATGATCTTGTGAGGGTAAAGGATCAATCAAAAGCAGTTGAGGCTTACTTGGAAAGGATCTCTAATTTCCCAAAGCTTTTGCATAACAATCCTGTTAATGTGACCAATGATATGATTGAACTTTATTTGGAGGTGAGGTCTTTGTACAATTACATCTAGTCTTTTTATTTCCTCTTTAATTTGATTTTATTGAATGATTCCGTGTTTCAGTTGCATCATATTCTCTTTGTGATTCATTTCTTTTATGGATATTTTCAAATCAAGTGCTCAGTTAAACAATTATTCCTTCCGTAATGGGGTGAGGGAGATAATATTGTTCTTATCGTGTCAGTATATTCATTTTGGCCAAATTTTAAATACGAGACTTGTAAGAGTTGAGTGAGCGTGTTTCGTGGCTACCCTGGTTTCTGTACCATAAAGCTTGTCCATGACATTCTCCAGTGTTACATCACCTCAGGTTCTAAATGTTTCACGTTTTACCTTTTCAGCTGTTATGTGAGTATGAGCGCAATTGAGTTCTCAAATTCCTAGGGACTTTTGATAGCTATCGTGTGGAAGGAACACTGTTTACGCCTGTGCCAGAAATATGGGATAACAGATGCTGCATCATTCCTGTTGGAAAGGGTTGGTGATGTTGACAGTGCTCTTTTACTTACACTTTCCACCCTCAGTGAAAAATTTATCAAGCTTGATACTGCTGTGGGAAGTCTGGTATCAAGTGGTTCTGCACGTACTGAGCATTGCAGCAATGCTTTAAAGCTCCATAAAGATGTTCATATCTTAAGAAAATTGTTCTCTCGGTTCATCAAGGAGATTGTTGAGGGCATGATAGGTTATGTTCGCCTTCCAACTATCACGTCCAAACTCCTTTCTGATAATGGTAGCCAGGAATTTGGTGATTTTAAATTCACGATATCAATATTAGATAATGAGTTTGTTTTGTTTTTTTTTAGAATTCAAATTTGTTACAGAGAGATAATTCAAATTTGTTTTGCACAGGCTGATTGATGCTTAAAACATAGTGGACAAATTGACCTCTGTATTTTTACCTAGTCCACAGTTCACATCCTCACACAAATTTTTTTCAGAAGTTTCACTTGGATCCCCATACCTCTTTGTAGTGGGTGTTTGTAATTTAGTTATTAGTCCCATAGAGGCATACCAAATACACCGAGATCCAAGGGTACTGGCATTTTAGGGAGAATACAACACAACGGTCATTTATCCTCGCATACGTCTGAGTGATAGTCGTTGATTAGTGTAAGCTTCACGAAGTGATAAAAAAAGCAAATACAAATGATACTAATCTTAAATAATGCCCGACGACGTGATAACCGTTGATTAGTGTAAGACTTTGTGACAAAACTCATATCAATTTAATGGCTCATATAGTTTTTTCATGCCTTCGACTTCACCTAGCATAATTTTTATACTAAATACAAGTGGAAAAACAAAATTGTGATGTGGCGCTGTCATGGCGTATTTTCATTGGTAGAAGTATCTAACCCCACAAGAATGAGGTGTAACCGCATTCATTGTGCGTTTTCTCTCACTTTCTTTCCCAAATAGGAGCATTCGGGAAAGAAAACCCATTTGGGGTTCGTCGGATAACAACACAAACACACCCTTTGAAGCCCCTCTTCTTCTTCTTCTTCTTCTTCCCCAAGTACGAGAGAGAAACCCAGAGGCCAAAAACCCAACAACCAAATCTTTGTTCCCAAAACCACTGGTACGTAAAGTCTCACTCTGTTTCAATTTTTCTGATGTTGTGGTATAACTTTTTATATGCCGGAGTTGCGTTGCCCCATGTATTTCTGATTCGCTTTTGAGCATTCTCATAACTCTCACATCCACAAAATCTCTCCAATTCTGGGTTCTGTTGTCTTGTGTCTAGTTATGTAGCTCTTCTCTCTGTGCTAATTGATTTTCTTTTTCTCTCCATTGTTTCCCATAGAGGCATACCAAATACACCGAGATCCAAGGGTACTGGCATTTTAGGGAGAATACAACACAACGGTCATTTATCCTCGTATACGTCTGAGTGATAGTCGTTGATTAGTGTAAGCTTCACGAAGTGATAAGAAAAACAAAAACAAAAACCCTCTCACACGAGTTCTCGTGTGTGTAGTGATACTAATCTTAAATAATGCCCGACGACGTGATAACCGTTGATTAGTGTAAGACTTTGTGACAAAACTCATATCAATTTAATGGCTCATATAGTTTTTTCATGCCTTCGACTTCACCTAGCATAATTTTTATACTAAATACAAGTGGAAAAACAAAATTGTGATGTGGCGCTGTCATGGCGTATTTTCATTGGTAGAAGTATCTAACCCCACAAGAATGAGGTGTAACCGCATTCATTGTGCGTTTTCTCTCACTTTCTTTCCCAAATAGGAGCATTCGGGAAAGAAAACCCATTTGGGGTTCGTCGGATAACAACACAAACACACCCTTTGAAGCCCCTCTTCTTCTTCTTCTTCTTCCCCAAGTACGAGAGAGAAACCCAGAGGCCAAAAACCCAACAACCAAATCTTTGTTCCCAAAACCACTGGTACGTAAAGTCTCACTCTGTTTCAATTTTTCTGATGTTGTGGTATAACTTTTTATATGCCGGAGTTGCGTTGCCCCATGTATTTCTGATTCGCTTTTGAGCATTCTCATAACTCTCACATCCACAAAATCTCTCCAATTCTGGGTTCTGTTGTCTTGTGTCTAGTTATGTAGCTCTTCTCTCTGTGCTAATTGATTTTCTTTTTCTCTCCATTGTTTAGGCATAGGATTGGTTGGCTTGGGTTGTTCAGTTGGGCAGGGGTTTTTCTCAGCCAAGTAGTTGTATTCTCTATTGGGTTTTTTATCTACAGAAATTTCTTCGATGGGTTCTTCTATTTTACTTAGATGAATTTGTTTACCCCTTTGAACTAACTGTATTGTGGAGGTAGAGAGGGGTTAGCCCTAGTATCTGTTATCTAGTTATATTAGAAAGAAAGCATTGTGTTTTTTTTCTAATCTAAGTTGTTTTTAGGTTGCTGGAATCCTTAAATGCAAAAACTATTGGCTTAACATTTTTTTATAGTTATTCTGACACTCGTGCATGAACAAAATAGTGCATAACCCTTTATGTTATATTTAAACATTGTTTACTACTATCTTCTTGTGCTCCATTTGCTTGATGGATTCACGAGGTTAGAAAAGAAAACTTGGATTTGATTAATGTTCTATAATTGGATTGCCAATTATAAGGTCTCTATGTTGTTTACCAGCAAACGTGGGGCGTCCAGGAAAGTTGGCCAGTCTCTTGTTGCATTTCTTACAAGTCTCCCTTGGCATTGGTTTTTTCATTGCCTCTTGCTAAGAAACGACTATTAGTGTTTTTCTTGCTTCAGAAGTTCTTCTGAGCTTACCATTTGTTAGTTCTTCACCAGTGTATATGTATGCCTTTCATGCAAATTCTCATGGGGTCGGTGCAATTTCCATAATTATTTTACGAGCCTGCAGCTCATTCAGTTGACAATTGGATTAGTTATTGGATGACAAAAGTTGGTGCTTGAACCAGACATGGCAGAAGGAGCGGAAGTTGAGGAGCGGGTGGATCTTGACGAAGACAACTACATGGAAGAGATGGATGATGATGTAGAAGAGCAAATAGATGAAGATGGAGTAGATGGAGTAGATGGAGGCAGTGATGAAAATGTGGAGGAGAATGCTGAAGAAGCACATGAAGATCCTACAACTAAGGCTAGCGAGAAAGATCAATCACCAGAACCAGATGAAAGCCATAATGCTGGTGAATTTGTGGACGATGAAGAGAAACCTTCTGCTTCTGTCAATGAAGAGGAGAAAGAGAAACATGCTCAACTTCTTGCCCTTCCTCCCTATGGGTCTGAAGTTTTCATTGGTGGACTTCCTAAAGACACCTTGGAAGAAGATCTGAGGGATCTATGCGATGAAATAGGCGAAATTATTGAGGTCAGAACTGCAACCTCTTGTGCTTCTGACATTTTGGCCTTCTGTTTGGGGCCGTCTGGAGTGGTAGTTTGATTTTCTGTGAGGGTTTGATTCATAGATTATTTTGCAGATAAGATTAATGCAAGACAGAGAAACTGGTGAAAGCAAGGGTTATGCATTTATAGGATTTAAGACTAAAGAGGTTGCACAAAAAGCCATTGAAGAATTACATAATAAGGCATTCAAGGTAGTGATGTTTCTCTTTTGCAGTGCTGTGTAGTATTGCCTTCGTTCCTTTTTAAAATATGTCCAGCCTGATTGTGATCTATAATGTGTTTCACCTCTGCAGGGTAAAACCTTAAGATGTTCACTTTCTGAAACAAAGCATAGATTGTTCATTGGTAATGTTCCAAAAATCTGGACTGAGGATGAGTTTCGAAAAGTCATTGAGGAGGTTGGTCCTGGGGTTGAGCACATTGAGCTAATAAAGGTTAGATTTTTAATCTCTTCTTTTGTTATGTTAATTTGGAGGTCAATAGCAACTTGGATAAATGTTCTTACGGAATTATCTTTTGTTAATTGCAGGATCCCCAAAATCCAAGCAGAAATCGCGGTTTTGCTTTTGTTCTGTATTATAATAATGCCTGTGCTGATTATTCAAGACAGAAAATGTCAAATTCAAATTTTAGGCTGGATGGAAATACACCAACTGTGACCTGGGCTGATCCAAAAAGTACTTCAGATCATTCTGCTGCTGCTCAGGTAACCCCAATTTCCAATTTAATGGAAGTTCTAGGTTCAGGGCTTTAATTATCAGTTTGCAGATTTTTTTATTTATAAAAAGTATATCAGCAGCTTAACTGATTATGTTTGAACTGCATCTGGTACCATGTCAATGCAAACGATCAACTAGTTTGTAGGAATCTGTGGGATTTTCCGTTGCACCATGGTCCACTGGGCTGCATCCCAGAGGATACGAATGCATCTTGGTTGTTAGTCAATCTCACTGTACTGCATCTTCCCACCGGCACTTGAGGAAGACCACTGGCATGGCGGTACACTCCTCACAAGCTGTCATACAATAGCCTAGGCTTTTGGGACAAGCTTTTGGGCATTGCAGTGACCCTGCCTCTAAAATCATTCCTAAAAATCCACTTTAAGTATCACATAAGGCCTTCTATAAAATCTTAAAAGAAATGATAAATAGTTGATTTTTCTATTAAATTTGTAACCGCAATGGAAACGTATTAGTTTTGTAAGAATATTGGGGTGAATTGGAGTGTTTTTTTCCTCTTCTTTGTACGTTTAGTGAGGGATATATTTTCTTCTTTTTCTTCTTTTTAAGTTTAGTGGATTGGAAAGTGTATTTTGTTTGCCCGTTTTTCTTATTTTTAAGTTTAGTAAGGGATATTTTTCTCTGAAATTAAAAGAGTGGAGAACCTAAAAGGATTGTTGCCTGTTGGCTTTCTATATTAGTATAGATATATGTTCTAGTTATATTTTCAAATCGTTAAATTCATATGAATCATGGCTTGACTTGATATGAACTTATTAAATTTGTCAACAAACTCGGAACATGAATTTAAAAGCCCATGTTTAGTTTCCTTGCAACCTTTTATCTTCTATTTAAAATGTTCAATTATATTTTATGTTTCCCTGCCCTATCTACTGACTGTATGTTTTTGCTTTTGCAATTTTCAGGTGAAGGCTCTTTATGTGAAAAACATACCTGAGAACACTAGCACTGAAAAGCTGAAGGAACTATTTCAGCGCCATGGTGAAGTAACAAAAGTGGTTATGCCACCTGGAAAAGGTGGCCAAGGAAAACGGGATTTTGGATTCGTCCATTTTGCTGAAAGGTCAAGTGCTCTGAAGGCCGTCAAAGATACTGAGAAATATGAAATTGATGGTACGTATTTTGCATCTCATCAGGAGCTTTTTGAGAATTTAAGATCCAGTGAGATAGACCTCTCTTTTAGAAGTTGTTTTTTCTAATTTTAGTTTGATGGAATGTGACTTATTCATCTTTTAACATACATGCAGCTTGTTCCAAGTTAAGCATATACAGTTGAGGGTCAATTTTCAGTGCCCTGATTTTTGAAATCCTCAACTAAAGAAATTAGTGAATGAAGCCAAAATAATAGTGAAAATTTTATCAGTTGGTTTGTGCCTCTAAAATCAAGTACATGGAAGATTTTCTTTTGTTTTTCTTCGGGTAGATTATGGGCCTGAGGCCCAAACACAAAGAAACTGACTACAAGGAGCCCTAGCCCTGCAGACAAAAACAATAGCTTCAAAAGCGATAAGAATCATGTCTGTAGGGGCTGCACTCTGAATTCTACAACTGAAATTCCAAAGCTGGCCAGTGGCCAGCCATTCTGCAGCACAACTTAGGGTTTAGGATTTGGAGTTCCGTGGATTGGTGAAATGAGGCAATTAAATCAAATCATATGGAGATCTGTTTCACAATGTTTTAAGATTCGGAGTTCTGTTTCGAGATTCAGGACTTAGAATGCAATGCTATATGATTTGGGTATAGACATCAAATAATAGATGGCTGCTGGAATGTACTTAAAACTCTTACGGTCTATTCTTTTCATCATTGGGATATAAAGTTACTGCAATTAAGTCAGATATCAAACCTAGATTTCTATTATTTATACTGTAACCCAACATATTAGAACTTAGAAAAATGGTGGTGGCATTATGAACTTGATTGTAAAATTTTTGAAATAACAGCTTCTGCGGGACATATCATGGTTATTGTCACAGGGCAAGTTCCTCTTTACATTGAAATGTTTCTGCTGTTGTGTAAAGCTACTTAATTTGAATATTAATCAATGGGGAGGATGGTTTTTTCTATTACATATTTCTTTATCTGATTTTTGTATAATATTGTGAGTTGGTCGATAGACACTGATCTGAAACTTCCTTTTCTTTTTTTTGAGCTCATAGTGTCTCCAAAAATAATTCGTCCATCGATTTGTTTACAGGTCAGCCACTGGAGGTTGTCCTTGCGAAGCCTCAGACTGAGAAAAAATCCGATGGGGCTTATCCTTACAATGCTGGGCCTCATGCAAACCACCTTCCACACCCAGGTTATGGTGGTGGTTTTGCTGGAAATCCATATGGCTCTGTAGGGGCTGGATATAGTGTTCCTGCAGGTTTTCAGCAGGTAGATCACTGAATTTATATTATTCCTCTTTGTCTTGGTATGAATCCTGTATCAGTGTAATGTCTTCTAACGGATTCTGTTCATGAACAGCCAATGATATATGGTAGAGGGCCAATGCCTGCAGGAATGCACATGGTGCCTATGGTTCTACCAGATGGTCGAATTGGCTATGTTCTGTAAGTTGCCATTTGTTTTCTGGGAGGTTCTTTTAGAAATAAAAAAAAACGAAAATAATTATGGAATAATGTCTCATAGAGATTGCTTTTGTGCAGTCAGCAGCCTGGTGGACAAATCCCAACTCCTCGTCCTCGGAGAGTGGATCGGAGCAATGGTCCAAGTGGACAGCCTGGACGAGGTGGTGGTGGCAGCGATGAAAGTAACCGTGGCAGGAGGTACCGGCCTTACTAGTGGCAGAGGATTGAGGTTGTTTTTTTGGGTAAAACAAGGAACATGTGACTGGTTGGAGGACGAGTTACATCAGACAGAAAACGAAAATAACAGAGCCACCTACCCCTCCCTTTTTTTCTCTTTTCAATGGAAAAGATGGGGCAAAAAAAGAAAAGAAAAAGAAAAAGGCTGCTAGGATTAGGAAAATGAGGTATTATAAGTTTATAACTGAATGTTGGTGTCTCATTGCTGTTAGATGTATGGCCAAAAAAAAAATGCTTCAGATAATTGACAGTCTAGGAATTGTTTCTTACGTATTAACTTATCCGCTTGTAATGCATTTTGTTGGCATTTGTTCATTGACATCTAGCAGAAATCAAAGTTTATTTTGCATCCGAATTTTGACGTCGCTTATTTTTTCTTTTTTCTTTTGCTAGTTTGTTGTATTAGTAATAATGGCAGTTTGAGTGTGTTAATTAACTGTGTATTATCAGCTGCTTGATTATGTAATCAACTAATGTAGAACAACAGGTCTGAATATCAATTAATGGAGAATTATGATGTTTTGCAATTTCGGATCTTCCAGTCAAGGGGACCAGTTAACGCTGTGTTCTGTAAACTTGTCAACTAGAAAACGTTGTTTTAGGACAACTCAGATTGTGGATCAAAATTCAGAATAGGAGGATCTTGGTTTTCCCAATGTATGGATTTGGTTGTTCAGGTACTCCAAAGGGACCGGTAAGCATCAGAACCAGAGCCAAATGCTGTGGGCATATTCTTCTCCCTTGCTGGAAATTCTTAACATGTATTATTAGGTACAAAATGTATGGCCACTGATCATAGATATTTGATGTCTTGGACTTGGTCCACCGACACCACATGTAAATTGTTCCTTTCGACGTTCAACTTTTCAGTGCATGGAGGGTCATCTCAATCCCCTCAAAACTCAGAGCTCTTCTGTGTTCTATCCATCCAAATACACCATAGATTAGATTAATTTAGAATAACTTGGACTATCGCTTGTATAAAATAAAATTTAAAAATCCAGACAATTGAATAATAACAAAAATCAGAAAAGAAACATAGTCCGTTACAAAATTTATACAGAATCAAGTAAACTAATGTTATGTATGCATCAGTGTCCCAGAAGTTGACATTCAAGGGAAATAAATTAACAAATTGAAAGCGGGGAAGTTTGCTCACTGTTATCCGCTGTTTCATACCAACTTCTTTATAAAATGATAAAATGTTAAGAGTCGAATATCAGCAATTGGTCTTTGTAATCAATCGAAACTGCAATTCAAGAAAAGGCATTTCTTGTGCATATAATTTGATTGGCCAAACAGCCACTTTCTTATAAGAAACCAATCGTAGCTGTCCTGTCCTACAGAGTATCCATTAATTCAGATTTGCAAACCTAGAAAGTCTTTGTAATTTGCATATTTTATATACATCTTCTTGTGTAACACAAGTCATTTTCAAAGAAAAACCCAATTCCAAGACTTACCTTCTTTCTTCTTTCTTCTTTCTTCTTTCTTCTTTCTTCTTTCTTTTGTAAAGAGAGATCAATGCGGAGTTTCTTGATGATCAAACCCAAAAGTTCAAACAAACGATCAAGAAACACAACAATCATAACCTATTGAAGGCATTTAAAAGAGTCTAGATTCATCTTTCTCAAGACAACAAGTAAGAAACAACAAGGAAAATAAGTTTAAAAACACAAAACTTAGATATTCAAAGGAAGACAATGCTGCTTAAACAAGAAGCCAAATAATTAAACACGGCACTGCCATGCCACCATATTACTTACAATGGGAAACTAAAGTATGACTCGGAAACTTTCTGGACATGATGTTCATTCTTTAATAAAAGATGGATTTTGTATCGATAATGTCTTGCACAAGGAGCCAGTGCGGTATAGCTTAGTTGACCGGGCTATTCCACCTCCTCCACCATGTGGAAAGAGAATCGAAATCCCAACACCCAATGAATATTTGTGTAAACCCCCTCCCCGAATGGCTTGTGCTCAAACAACGTCATGCACAGAGAAGAACTGCCCACACAATTACACCATATGGTGAAAGTGAAATGGAAAACTCCAAAAATTGTCCTCTATGCTCTATTGCCAAGTGTCCATAGGTGACATTAGTTTCATTTCTCCGAATGTGATTCATTTATACAATGCAAGAGTAAAAAGACCAGTGTTGAAAAAGAAAAAGAAAACATTGATATGAATCAAATAAAAATATTATTCACAATTGGAATGTATAGATGGGCAAACCCTCAAATGACCTTAGAAGAAAGCTCCTGAAAGCGCTTTTCCAATTCATCCAACCTATCACCCCACTCACTTTTCACACACAAGGGCCTCACTTTCCCATCCTCGTCCACACCTTCCTCTTCCCTGTGGCTTCCCACGTAGGATGATGATGACGACGACGACGGCGACACATTTGCCTTCTTCTTTTTCTTACCAATCTCTCTGCTTTTCTTATCAGCTGCTTTCTGGAGAGCGAAAAGCACATCAGACCCACTAATAATCTGCTTGCCCTCTTGATTTTGCCTTTGCTTTTGCTTTTGCTTTTGCTTTTGCTTTGAGAGAATTGGGGTTGTGGGTTTGTGGTTGGATTTGAGTTTGGTGAGAATTGACTGGCCTAAGCCACCGAGGTCTTGGCCTGGTGGCTGAGACTTGGCGGAGACGGAGAGGCTCTTGAGATTGAGAGGTGGTTTGTTGAGGTTGCGTACGAGAGGGTGGCATGGCGGTGTTGGTGGGGGCAGGTAGGACACTGCCCGCATTGCTGTGTGGTTTTTGGTATTTGGGGTTTTTTAATTCTTTGCTAAATAGGTTGGCTTTGCTTTTTATGTTTTGTTTTTTCCAGCTTTGCTTTTTATGTTAGCCATACATATAATGTGGTTTGGGTTATCTTTATTAAGTGGACTATTTGATTGATCGATGGGTCAGGTTGGGTCAACCCGTGACTTTTTTAATAGAAAAATATTATCAAAATATAAATAAGTACTTAAATTAAAAATATAAAGTTTGACGAAGTATTAAGTTTTGTTCATTGAATCAAAATATCGAATGCAAGGGTAAGTTAGGCTAGTTGGCTAAGGTAGTATGCCCGCTCTCCTTGCACTTGAGTTCAATTACCCTCTCCATATATGATTAGTATAAAATATCTAATCTCTCCATATATTATTAGTATAAAATATCTAATTAGTGTTAGTCTCAAAGAGAGAATGAGTGGAGGGAGTCATACATTCACAATAAGCTACATTAAGCTTGTTAAAGAAATAAAAGGAAGCAAGAACTCTTGTAAAGAGGCTTACTTCCCCTAACCCACTTGCTTAGGGTTTGTTTAGTGGGTTGCGGAATTGGAAATGAGAGAGATTTTGTTCATTAACAAATGAAAGTACAAGTGTGGAACGGACAACATATCACTCGCTCAAAAAAGCTAACTCATTAACTATATCATAATGAATGCCATTGTTGGGGAAGGGGCAGGTTTGGTTTGAACTTTTGCCACCTTCCCAAATCAATAAAATTTCGCAACGTTTAGTTAAAAAGTGCATTGATTTGCAAATTAGTGGTTTCTCTTACGTTCGAGCTCTTATGGCACATTAGCAGTGAGTGTGTGTGAGAAATCACCCCTCCTCCCTTTAGTTTAAACTATCACTCGTACTCAAGAAAATTTGTGGACACTCAGATTTAACTCAAGCAGAAAATTCGGATGCAACAAACAAAGAAATGCAATGGATGTTGTTGTGAGAAAAGGGAAGGGCCTACTACAAGACAAAACCAGTATTGATCGAATTGTGCAAATTGATTAGTTAAACACGTCATTTTTGTTGATGGGACTGAGATCAATTCCCCCAATTCCTGCAAGTCAGTGTCGAGTAGATGCAACTTCCAAAACCTAATAAATAAATAAATAAATAAATATGAACTGACTCAAAAAAAATAATTAAAAAAAGTAATAATAATGAATAGTATAGTCATGTTTGTGGCTTCAGTCCCTTGAAGCCCCATAAAATTTATGTATAATCCCAAAACCAACCAACCAATCCATCCTCTTGGTCACTGATTTGGGTACCAACCTTGTTACATGTCCCAATCAAATTGCTCCGCAATAAAACGAAAAAGTAATATTCCCAATCAAATTAAATATCCACAACAAATCCGCGGTCCATACATGCCCATCTCATGTGAGTTTGCATGGCCATATCAACTGGGGAAGGATTCAAAACAAATACCCAGAAAAGAGGGAAAACCCAATCCACTTGCGTCTTCCAAACCCTAGACACACCTATGTATATTCACATGAAAGAGGTACTGAGTTCAAATTTCACGGACGGACGGACGGACGAGAAGTTATGTTGTTAAAATAATGGCCATATCAACTGGGGAAGGATTCAAAACAAATACCCAGAAAAGAGGGAAAACCCAATCCACTTGCGTCTTCCAACCCTAGACACACCTATGTATATTCACATGAAAGAGGTACTGAGTTCAAATTTCACGGACGGACGGACGAGAAGTTATGTTGTTAAAATGGAAAATAAAAGAAAATTAGATTTCAATTTTCAAGTAGTTTATGTGCATTGATTGTAAATTTGTAATTGTACAACACTGAAGTTACATGTCAATGGAAATTTGGGATCTTGGTCCCCTTCCCCTCACTTCCCACCCAGAATTGGAACTGGACAAAGAAACCTTTCAATGCACATCTTCTAAATCCTGCAAGTGGGCGATTCGCTAATAAAAACAAAAAATATTAAGAAAAGGGAAAACAATGCGTGTATTTGCGAAGACCTTAATTTCCAATTACTTTTAAATAATTCACTTTATTATGTGCCATCATAAGAAATTCAGTAAAATATTACAAATACAAACGAAAATCTAAAATTAAAATAAAATAAACCCAGCCACATGTTAATTCCACATGGGAGGAACTGGGGCTTCCTGATCCATTGCAATGGCGCCACATGGAAAGACAGAAATCCTAACGGATTGAAATTTTAACCGGGTACCTATCAATCGAGTCCATCCACGGGTTACCCAACCCGTCCCCGACCGAAATAGGCCGGAGCGCCCTCCAAACCGCGCTGTTACACTTGAAACCCGACCCGAATGCGATCTGCCAGACCCGGCCACCCCGCCCCACCCGCCCCTTGGCCTCCGCGTACGCCAGCTCGTACCACAACGAGCTACTCGACGTGTTACCGAAGCGGTGCAGAGTCATTCTGGAAGGCTCCATGTGCCACTCAGTGAGTTGCAGGTTCTTCTCCAACTCGTCCAGCACGGCCCGCCCGCCGGCGTGAATGCAGAAATGCTCGAACGCGAGCTTGAAATCCGGTATGTACGGCTTCACCTTTGCCTTGAACACCTTCTTCCGGAT